GAATACAAATTCCCTAGAATATCCGGATTCAGGTTCTTGTTGGCTCTCTTCTGATTGTTCAAGCAATAATAAGGAATGTTAAGTATCGCCTGTTCTCTAAAGTGGTGTTAGAACAGGATCATCAGGAGATATTATGGTGGTTTAGAGGCACAGAGATTTTATACATCAAAACTAGAAATCACATCACTGTTTTCTTTTTTTTAATTTCCTACATCTTATAACAGGAAATAACCTGAACTGAAATAATGATTATCCCCTCCTGAAAATGTGTATCTCTTGACATTTGATCAAGTTGTGCCTTTCTTCTGACATCTGTCCACATCCTACTTCAAGGCTCAATCTAATGTTATTCCCTTTGAGGCTGACTGTGATCCCTTTCTTTTTTTTTAATTTTATTTATTTATTTGAAAGATGGAGATCGACTGTGATCCTTTTCAAAATTAATCCCTCCCTTGGCTCTCTGAACTTCTTTTATGTTGGGTATCACATACTGCCTTTTGCTAGTCACCCATAACTGCCTTGACATTTTTCAAGGTCTACTCTCCTATCTAAGTAAGACCCTAGTAAGGTAGGGTCTTACTCCCCATCTCCCTTCTAGAATCCAAAGTTTCTTACACAGATGCCTTCCTTAGGTTTATACAGTGCTTATTAGGGCATGTCAAAAGTCACAACTTACCTCACTTAATACTCCCAACTTGGGAGATGTCAGCAGGCATGGATTTTTTTTTCTCCCATTTCACAAATGAAGAGACTTAAGACTCAGTGGCCACACAATTTGTCCAAGATCACAAATCCCTGACAATAAGAGGCAGAGCTCAGAGCTGCCATACTTATAATCCTGGAAATAAATCACCGAGATGTTTCTGGAAGAATTTAGATTTCAGATCTGAGATCTAACAAACCCAGAAACTGAAGGATTATGACCAAGAGTGTCAAATCTATTATTTACAAGACCAAAATGATGCTATTTGAGAAACAAGGTCACAGATTTTGGCTCAGAGAGAGACTTCTCTAGAATGAGAGGCAGATGTTGGTTCATATTGCTCTGTGGCTCAATTTCCCCACCTGTGAAATAAGAAGGTGGTGGCTGGACTACCCATTGGAAGGATCCTTCATGCAGTCCATGAGTCCTCTCTACCAACTATGGTGGCTGGGACTAGTGGGTAGAATGGCCTGAAAATTCTTTCCACTTTGCAGATTGTGCAGCAGGAAGGGCCAGAGGCTGAGCTGGAGCTCCAGTGAGAGGGTTGGGGTTGCAATAAAAGGCCCAGAGCAGGGGTTTCACCAGAATAGAGTAGAGGGGTGTATAGTGAATACTCTCCTGAAACTACTGGAGTAGAGCCCCTGGGAAGGAAGCATGGCAAATTGGGATCGTACTAGGTGTGGAAGCAGAGGCCAGCACTTCCACCAACACACTGGTTGATGCATTAGGACCACTAGAAGGTCTCCATCACTCTCTGGGCCAGTCTCCCCATCTGTGTCACAAGTGAAGGTCAATGCCAGCACCAACAATGGGCAGAGGCAGCCTGGGACCACAGTTCCCACTGCAGGGCTGGGACGTGGCACACAAACCAGCAAAGCTGACTCCTGACAAACTGCCATCCCATTAGTAAGTGGCTTGGAAAGGGTCCTGAAGTAAAGATGCTCCAAAAGCAGTTCCCTCATGGTCTTCAGGTCCCTGGAGCAACTTTCAGTTCTGACTAGGAAGCTCAGAGCCCTGCTTATCTCCTTGGTCTCCCTGTCTGGGATTGGCTCCCAGAGAGTAGGACTGCGAGGGTCCCTGAGGCTCAAAGTTGAAGAGAACAGTCTGTGTCCCCCCTCACCGTGTCTAACTCAAAGCCATATTTTATTAGTGTCACTGGCCCTGCTCATGCTCAGAACATGCTGGAACACCATTAACAGGAATAAATAGAGTAATAAAGAACAGGAATGAATGGGGTTATAGAAAGAGAGCCTCCTGGAATAGAAAGAAGAGAAGACATCTATAGATTTGAATTCAAAATCTTCTTTGCCCTTTTCAGCCAGTAAAAATATTACCCAGCTAGCAGGACATTTGCCAAGCCTCACCTGTAAACTAATGATCCTGTCTTACTGAGGCACTGGGATTACAAAGCAAATAAGTAGCTATAAAGTATGTCCCTGTCTCTTTCCCTTGAAGTCTATCAGTATAGCTGTCAATCACAATCCAGATCTATGATTTTCCTTCCCTGATTAAAAAGCCTTCCACAACAATTCAGATCAAGGACCTATTTCTTAGATATTAGGCCAGGCACACCAGGGAAACAAAGGTGGCCTGACCTTTTCTTCCAGCCAAGAAGACAGTTACTAAAAGCAGCCAAGCTTGGAGTTTGTGCCTGGGGACTCAAATGTGAACAATATGAGCTCACATAGGGATTACTATACAGTGAATGAGGCTGACAAGTTAACAGTGTTAACATAGTGTGACAAATAAGGACTGTGAGAAACACAAAAGAAAGGGCATCTCCTGGAGAAGGAGGTTTCTCAGCTAAGTCTTGAAGAACAAGTACAAGTTTTCAAAATAATAGGAGTGTCTCTGCTCTTGGCAACATCCATTCCCATTCAAGCACAATAGCTTGGGGTTCCTGCCCATATTCTAGGGACCTACCTTATTTTTAAGGTGTATAAGGTTGTTGAAGAGGGTGCTGTGCACATAGATAATATCACAATGTTTGAGCAGTTTGGGGAAAGAAAATCTCCAGACCTGATGGTGATTCTCTCTTTGTGGTCTCCTTAAATCAAAAGTTTGTTATTGTTATTATTATTATTACTACAAACAAATGGGTCAAAGACACAGCAGGCCTTGGCAGTAATCTGGATACAGTGGATAAAGAAGTGGGAGGAAACATACTAGAAAACATCTCTTATACATACAGTGTGCCAAGCACCATTCTAATACACACACACACACACACACACACACACGCATATGTGTATATATATATGTATCTCATCCAATCCTCATATTACTGTTATGACTTAGGTACTATTCTTATCTTTATTTAACAGATAAGGAAGCTGTAGCACAGAAAGGCCAAGTAATTTGACCATGGTTACCCAGCCCATGGTATGACATCCAGGGTTCTAGTTTAGGCCCCTGGGTGAATGGTAGTGCCTTTCATGGTGATGGGAACATGGGTGAAGCTGAATGAATGCTGCTTTAGGCATATAGAATTTCTGTTACCATACCAAAAATTACTCATGATTTCTGTTACACATACCAAAGCTTGTGTGATGCTTTATCAGAGAGGTCAGGGTGGCATTACCTCAAATCTATTTGGCCCAAATGCAGGTGTCCCAAGATGCTATATGGGAGGCATCATGCAGCACGTCTTCCCCACTGAGACTCAACCCAGTCACGGTAGATCAGACCCACAGTGCTGACCACAGAGGTACCTATGCAGTTTAGACATACCACCCTGATGAAGCTAGCCCTCACAGAAAGCCAACTGCCTGAACATGAAACAGCTCTAAAGAAAAAGAAAACTCAATCTTGTTTTCCAGGTCCTGTGTCTACTACATACTCCAAAGCAGCTAGAACTGCAGGCCATCACATGATCAGGGAAACCTGAAAACTGGAGTGGACAACATTTGGGTTAGCCTTAAGAGACTTCTTGCTTAAGAGCCTTGAGTCTTTGAGGCTTTAATGGACCAATGGACTACATCCAGTGGCAATGACAGGCAGAAGCTAGGATGAGATAGCCAAGACCTCCCTACGAAGTTTCTAAATGTAGGGGGTGACCTTGATATTAAAAGGACACCCTTTAGGGTGGGCGGGCATAAACTATTCCAAGAGACTTCCTTACAGCTTGTGAAAACTCTGCAGGTCTTCTGATGCCTTTGTTTCTGTCCTGGCTTCTGCAAGGAATTGAGGTATGTGTCCAGTCCAGAGGTTGGCCCAGAACACCCTTGATATATTGCTGATGCCTGGATATGCCAGGAGATTGCTACTTTGCAGCCTGTAGATGATCTACCTTCTAGGCTACAGCAAGCTACATAAGATACAGCTACTTCTGTGGAAAAGTGGCTGATCTTATCCTCTGCCTTTCACCCATGGCCGTTATACCTAGAGGTTGTGGTTTCAGGGCTCAATCATGTTAACAGCAGGGACCTGTTCACATCCTGCTTCTGTATGCAAACCATTCTTCCAGGTGAAGACCAACTGGGTAGCTCCTGACACCCAGATACTAGACAAGTGCATCTAGATTATGTTGTCCCCTTACCCTTCCACTTTTTATCTGCTCCTTGGACTCCAGATTGCCAGTGCTTAACTTTAGGAAAGATTAACCACATCCATCAGCCAAAATACCAGTCACTGGGCCTGTTTCTTCATTAATAAGATGGAAATGCGTGTACACTGAAACTCATATTGGGTGAAAATGCCATGGGCATCACATGTAGTATATACCAGGCCTTTTGCTATGTAGTGTCTATATGTTATCTCTGTCATCATTCAAAGCCCTGTGAGGCACACATTATGCTCTACATTTTTCAGATGTCAGAAATGGTCTCAGAAGTTGGGTGTATTCCCCAAGGTCAGCAGAAAGGGTAGGGGCAGAGCTGGGGTGCATATGGGTAGCTCATACTTTGAATGGTCTGAGAGGGAAAGGTACCTAGCCTGAAACCTCACTTGAGGCCCCACCCTCTCTCCGTTCCGAGGTGGCTCCGCCTAGCCCGGTTGCAGGTTGTACTGGCGACCGCCTTCCAGCTCACCCTTCAGAGCACAGAAGTGCGCGCCCACCTTGGCCACCGAGAGTTCCGGGATCCTGGAGGGGCCGGAAGTGGGTCTTGTTGTCGCTTCCGGCTCGGCCATTGTTTTCGCTCTTGCAGGCCAGGGGTGTTTTCCGCATGCAGGGGTCGCTGCGACTGTACACCGGTGAGCGGAGCAGGGGCGGGGAGGGAGGTGCTGTACGGGCCGGGGTCGCTGAGTTGGAGCCGCGGCCGCACGCAGGCCTAATTTGCGACGCTGGTTCCGTGCACGCTTTGCCTCCGCGGCCGGTGGCGCGGTCCCTGTGACACTCTGAAGCCGGCAGTTGTAGAGCCGCCTCTTTGTCCCGTCCCCTTGACCAGCGGTGCCTGGCCTGGAGCATGGCGTCTGCCGGTACAGCGGAGAAAAAGGCAGACATGGCCAGGTGAGCTGCGCCGCAGACGCCCTGGTTTAACGCAAAACGTAGGTGGATATTTTCCCAGCCTTGCGCTGAGAGCACAAAGCGTCAGAAGTGGGTTAGACACAGTCTTGAAATTAAAAACGTGAAGCGTCACTTGGAGACCCAAAAATGCAGAAGAGATTAGCTGCGGAGCATTCAGAACTAGTAGGAAAATGATCAGAACTTTTTACAGGTGTGGGGATCTCAGAGCAGAGTTAATAGGCTCTTCTCGTCCTCCTCCTCCCCCTCCTCTTCTTCCTCTTCTTACTTATTCTGCCTGCTTGCTTGCTCTCTTCGTTCGTTCGTTCGTTCCTTCCTTATTTCCTTTCCTTTCCTCCTCCCTTCCTTCCTTTCTTAACAGAAATTGAAGCCTAGAGAGTTGCTTACCAAGGGTACTGAGATGCATGGTGACCATCATTGATGCCCTAGTTTCCACTAAGGTACTGATTCTCTTGAGTTTTACCATATATTAAGTGGATAAAAGCTTTTCCCCCGCTTCAGTATCAGCTAAATGAACGACATTCATTCGTTTACTAAAGGTGTACCTCTGTGTGCTGTGTACACACACACACACACACACACACACACACAAAGAGGACTGGAAACCTGTAGGTGACGCCCCCATTGCCCTCTGTCCCTGCCCTGCCCTTTGAGTCTTTCCCCAAAGTGGGGGAGACAGCAGTGTAAATCACAAACAGAGTGTGGTAAGTGTTCTAGTAGAGGTTTGAATGAAAAAGGTACTGCGGGCTCACTGAGGCAGTAATCACACCCAAGCCTGGAGAGATCAGGAAGGTTTTCTAGGGGAGGTGGTTGAGTAGGAAAAGGTCTGGAATTTAGTGATTCCATTGGGTTTTTTTGGTGGCTGTCTAGCAAGAAGGTGTGAGTGGCCAGTTGTGCATACACTAATTAAAATAATTGTGTTTTAATTAGAAGTACAGAGAAGAAGGCTACCAGCTTTCTTCCTGCCTGGGACAATCAGGAAAGCAAGATTCAGGAGCAAAGGGTATTTGTTTTCAGTCTTGACAGAGGAGTAAGAGTTTGTCAAAAGCTGAAGAAGAAAAATCCAAAGAGGACAAGAGAATATGTGGCTTCTGGCTGTGTCTCCAGAGCTTTAGTGCCAAACTTTGTTGTACATCTCTGTCACAATAGAGAAGAGTAGAAGAGCTTTGAGCATTCACTTCCTGCATAGGTTTACTTATAAATTAAATATATGTATTGTTTTATAAATTTCAATACACATTATAAAACATACACTAAATAGGAGTTAAATAACAATGTGTTCTTAATATACCCTTTGGATCATCTTGCATATTCCTCACTTGGAGATTATTGCAGTTTCTCTAGCCTGAGTACCTGGAGAGAGTGGTAAGGGTATGTCTAGAGCAGGACCCAAGGCCAGGTGGTGAGGGGCTGTGACTGCTAGGCATAGACATTAAGGTTTCATCCTGTAGGTTTTGGGAGCCACTGAAAATTTAAGAAGGGAAATCCTTAGAGAGATGCTTAGAGACTGCCCTGGTTGTAAACTACCTTCCCCGCTTTTCTTCCTGGAGTTTTTTTTACTTTTTTTAAGATTTATTTATTTATTTGTTAGAGAGAGGGAGTGAGAGAGAGAGAGAGCATGTGAACAGGGGGAGGGTCTGTGGGAGAGGGAGAGCAGACTCTGCACTAAGTGCTGAGCCCTATGTGGGGCTTGTTCTCATGACCCTGATATTATGACCTGAGTGGAAACCAAGAGTTAGACACTTAATGAACTGAGCCACCCAGGCACCCTTGGAGCTTTGGTTTTTAACTGTGGATGGTCTGTTGTCAGCCCAGGGCTGAACACTCTGGGACTCTGATTTCTCTCTTAATGTTTTTGTAGGTGACACCCCCATTGCCCTCTGTCCCCAACTCTGAAAACAGCTCCTGAGACCTGAATTACAGAGCATCATTTTAACTGGACAAACTGCAGCTGAAACAAGCTTTTCTTGGAGGTCACAATGACCACCCAAGGCAGGGGGACTTTAGGCCTCCTCCGTAGGGGTGCTGTTCTCCAGAAACATGAGGGGCGCCAGACCATGAAGCAGGAGCCAGGGAGCCAGACCTGGGGTCAGGGCTGCAGTCTCCAAAAGAACCACCCTCCTGTCTGTGAAATTTTCCGGCTACACTTCAGGCAGTTATGTTACCATGAGATGTCTGGGCCGCAGGAGGCACTGAGCCGGCTCCGGGAGCTCTGCCAGTGGTGGCTGATGCCAGAGGTACACACCAAGGAGCAGATCCTGGAGCTGCTGGTGCTGGAGCAGTTCCTGAGCATCTTGCCTGGGGAGTTACAGACCTGGGTGCAGCTGCATCACCCTAAGAGTGGCGAGGAGGCTGTGGCTGTGGTGGAGGATTTTCAGAGACACATAGGAGAGGTGAGCAGATGAGTCCAGAATGGCATCTTCTCTAGTGGCTGGATTAGCTTGGGAATAGTCATTCTCTGTTCCATAGGCTTTAGGCTGGTTTATCCTTAGGATTCCTGAGCCAATTCATGGAGAGGGAAGAAATAGTTTTGTGCTTCAAGTCATGAACAAAAATACAATTCCCAGAGAAGCTCTGTGCATCACTTTGGGAATAATGTGTTGTGACCCTCGCTTCAACCTGGCGATCCACACAGTACTCCTGGCAGGTAGAGAATCTGCCCACTGTTTAGAAGGGACTGTGGTAGGGAGTAGATTTCTGCGTATGTTGATAACATGGGCCTTCATTCGAGAACTTGTCATTACTTACTTCCTTGTACTTCTCAGAGTCTGTTATCTTTCTTCCCGAATTTTAGGTTCTTTAGAAGAGGTGACATTTCTGGACCTCATAATCATTGGTTTCTTTTCTAACTTGCCAAACCCAACTGGGGTCTTTCTCCTTCCTTCCTTCCTTCCTTCCTTCCTTCCTTCCTTCCTTCCTTCCTTCCT